TAGGATTGTACTGGATACTTTGATTGAACACTAGTAACTAGTGTGATATGTCTAGTCCTTTGTTTAGTGACCTACCTAGAATGGTGGCCACATTGCAAACCTGACTGGTTGAATTCAGCCTGCACCAAACAAAGGACTAGACACATCACACTAATAACTAGTGTCCAATCGAAGTAATGATTTGCTGATTCTCGCTGGTGAAGTAGAGTAAAACTGTTTAACTACCCAAATCCCAGGTCAGGTGATAATTCAACCTGACAACCAATATAGTTTTTGTACTAAAGATTTGTTATTTCACAAATCTAAAGTGTCTTCCTAAAGGGAAACAAGAAGCTCTCTGTAAAGATTAGTAGCAATAAATTGTGTTTGAAACGTGGTCATCAGTAAATATTACTTACTGTATAACACTGTGTGACTTTATCAAAGTAAAATTTTATCCATAATGAAATTATACTCTACCAAAGTGCCCAAGTTTTATCCTTATATTGCCAACAAAATAAGTTAGATCGGTTATTATCTGTGCGTATTCTGCACTCTGTACATCAGCTTATAAAGAACTCAAAATTTGATACATTTTATTTTGTCAGTAGTTTCAAAATACTGACTGTAATCAATGAAACATGCGTTGTTAACCTACATTAAGAGTTACTGAGAGGAGTGTTAAAATAACCGATTCATCATGCAGAGCCAAAAAACTGACAAGTGTTCCATATTGGTGTGCCAAAGGTATTTGAAAGTCGTTAAACTAGTAGTGTAGAACAGTAACTGTAAACCTTTAATATACGCATATAATATTCAGAAAGCTCCACTAGAGAATTTTTCCACAACTTTTTCTTCTGTTTTTGCCATTCTGTGATTGTCTGCCTCTTTATTTTTCTTTAATATTTGGTAGTAGTAATACAGCCTCTTGCATACAATCCTTTTCGGTGCATATACTTGCGGTAAACAGTACTAGGCATTTGGCTTTAGCACAAAACCGTAATTATGTTGAAATCAGAAATGTTAAAAATGCATCTACAATTCTGAATACTAATTAGAATTCTTTAAAGATCTGTGAAGATTGATAGCAAAAACTTTGACTAAGTGGAAAAACTGATTTCATATAGTACTTAAACTTTGAATTGTTAGATAGAGAGAGAGGTTATAAGTGTTAAGTTAACTAGAATTTAAAATGGAACAAAGTTCAGATCACTATACAGTAGGGAATGCAAAAAAAATTAGTGGGTAAAAGATGTATTGATCTGTAGTTATCCTTCAGTTATTACTTTATTTGAATTGAGTGATATACTGACTTTCTAAGAGATGTCATATTGGACCTACAGTATTCAAACCTTTCTTCTGCTCACGCTAAAATTTAACCTTTATTTTTAGTTATCCTTTAGCTACCATTGGACTTTCTTGTCATGATAGAACATTCGATCCGAAGTAGGTGATAGGCTTATTTCTTGAGGTTGTGCAGAAACAAAAAGGAGAGTTGTACCACACTAAGACCCAAGCCATTTCATATCAAGTCTTAGAGGAGCAAGATATATCTTAAACGTCCTATGAAAGTGTCAGAAAAAAGTCTGAAGGAAGTGGACTCTGGAGTAGTGCATCCTCTTTTACACTTTAAAGTCTTAGTTTCAGTCAAGAATTCAAACAACTAATACTTCTGAATGGGAATCACTGAACTGGTGCAGTTGCAGAATTCAAATATAAAGACCTAGCCTTTGGTGAGGATAACCTCAGTAGCAGGGTGAGAAATTTTTTCGAAGAGATACTGCTGGAACCCCGGACCATCATCAAGACAGTTAAAATATATTGTGAGAAATTTGTCTTGAGAAATCACTGCTCAAATAGAATGAGGCGTTTGGACTATAAAGGGAAAGTTTCCCCAGGGTGAACACGGATATAACACATGACAATAATTTCATTTTACCAGAGAATTAATCGTGTGTCGTCGGGTTTTAATGAGTGCAAACATTTAAACCATAAATAATTTCCCAAATGACCCACACAAATAACTGTATAGAAACTCTTAAATGAAGAGTTAAATAAACTTAAGGACATTTTATTCATTCCCTTAAATTCTAACTCCACCTTCCTTCTGCTGTACAAATCTCAGCAAACATCATACACAACCATCAGATGATTAGCGAAGATGATTTGATTTCATTAGTTTCGCCTAGCCAAGAATTATACACCTCATCCGACAGTTGTACGACAATGCTGCATGCCCACAATGAGAAACTCACGGAATCCTTCGAAGTGAAGACGGGAGTAAGACAAGTTGGCTACCTACTACCTCCGATGATTTTCTTGACTGCAGTAGACTCGATGATGTGACAGACAGCGGCGGGCAACGAGGAGACAAGCACAAAATGGACCCAAACAGAAAACTTGGAGGATCTGGATGTCGCCGATGATATATGTCTGATTTCCCATGAAGTGGAAGATATGCAAGTGAAAAGCAACAAGTTGGCAGAAGAAGCATCCAGAGGAGATAGAAATTCAGGTGGACATAGAGAAAACGGAGGTGATGAAGATTCCTGGCCAACAGCAACATCAACAACAACAGACAACAATCAGCCAGCTAAATGGGAGAAATCTGAAGGAAGCAACCTCCTTCATCTACCGATATGGGAAGCGGACGGAACTGATGAGGATATCAAAGTGGAGATCGGTAAAGCATGGCAAGCCTTCATTACTCTCAAGTCTGTGTGGAGATCAACAGCACTCAGCATTAATGTAATAAGATCCGGATTTTCACTTCCAATTTGTAGTCAGTGCTACTTACTATGCGGATCAGAGACTTGGTGCGTCACGAAGGGCACTTTGAACAAACAAGAGACTTCCATCAACAGCTGTCTTCACTCAATACTCAAGATCAGATGGCGGGCCAGAAAAGATCAGCAACAGGGTGGGATCTCTGTGAGCGAACCAATCAGGAACCAACTGAGCAACAAATAAGCAGGAAGAAATGGAGGCGAATTGGCCATACCGTGAGAAAACCATCAAGTGACATCACACACCGGGCCATCGCTCGAGTGGAACCCGAGCGGGAGTTAGTTGTTTGTCAGTACGAGAGTGACATGGAGGAGGTGATGTGAATAGGAGACGAAATTATGTGGGCAGACGCGGAGCCAGGTGTAAACGTTGTTGGAGAACAGAACGCAATGGAGACGTGTGGCTGAAGCCCTATGTTCCTTTGGGAACTAAAAGACAATAATAGTAGTTTCGACTAGATTAATATGAACGCGTCAACATATCAAATTAATCTGTAAGCAAGTGGTACTTTCTTATTAAAATGAACTGTGCAAGACAACCAGTGGCATGACAGTGACATGCACACTCAAAGGTATTTCACAGATCTTGGATAGTATTAATATGAGCTACAAGCTTCACTGTTTAACCATAAATATCAATTCAGCGTAAAGTACTATAGCCCTCAACAATCGACTTGTAAACAAAACAGTATGTGAAGTTGATGTTTGAGAAAACTTAGTAGTTTAAGACAAATGCAATCTTTAGACAGGGAAGAGTAATGTCATTCGTGTGTGTAAATTCAGTATAATAATCCAACAGCAAAATAAGCCATACATATGAATTGAGCAACCAGGACAAGAAATATATCCTGAGACCCACTTGAAATATTTCAAGAGGTACTGTACAGAATTCTAAGCTTAAGCAATAAGAGCTTGTCTAATTTTCAGTTTAACTTCAGGATAACCCGTTCTCATACCTGCTCTCTGGCCTGAATCTGCGACTTGGACTATAAGCTCTGTTTTTCAGAGAATATAAAACTCTGACAGCAAGCATCATTTAAAATGCTTTGCAAAAGCTAAAAATGAACATACCATTTCAGCCTAACTTGAAAATCTCCAGAAAATCACCCAGGACCTCATGACATATAAACCACCGATCTTCAAGTTAATTGACAAGCATGTTACAATTTGGTCATTAATTTGGACTTTAGCAGTTCATGACTGTGACTATTACATATGAGTGAAAAGTACCGGTTCTCGCACTTTAATCCCCTGACTTCATCCACCAAGCTTTTGGTTGGCCCTTCAAGAGCGATGGATTGTTAACTACTTGCTACTTTTGGGCTTCACTGATTGGGAAGGATGATATTAGTGTGGAAATATGATGAAATAATGAACTTAAACTAATGACAAGTACTATTCTTTGATAAAGCCGCTTCCTGGTATTTTCTCATTTTTAAATATTTCTTTTTCTGATGTTGGTCTGCAATGGAGGTCGGCTTGAAACCCTTCATTTTTACAAAGATCTGACATCTGATAACCATTGTTATGAGAAATAGATTTAAAATGTTACACTCTTTTGATGGGTATGAAATAGAATTTTATATTAATCCAGGGTGAATAATAATAGAACTAATTCATTCTGGAGAGCCATCCCAACTAGGTGGACGAATTAAGTGAAATCTGTCTTATAATTAAGTTTGTGGGAAAAGTTTATACGTTTGTTGGTGAGGATTTTAAAAGGCATATTAATGCCGACGGAAGTCAGAATAATTCCCTTACACACCAAAGTTGATTATTTGTCTTCCTAAAATATCTAAAAGTGGGGTGAAATTCCTTTTAATTATGGATATAAAAATTTGTTGGAAATATTCATCTAACAAATCTAAGCTAAGTTGTGTGACTATTTGCAACATAAAAGTTAGATAACCTTTACAATGAGACTAATTTTGAAGGTTGTTGTGCTCAAATAATGTAATGTTTAGCTTAGGACTAAAATAAACGTCGTTAACAGTCGTGAGTTAAAAGCGCACCACTAAGAACTTAACCTTTTTCATTTACTAGTGTTTTAACAACTACCTTTTATTTCTTTTATTTTATTAAGCAATATGTTTATGGCTGCTACCTATCAAAAATCTCCCAGACTATTCCTACAGATAGTACATATTACAAAAACGTATATGTTTATGTTTTATTTATATGAAAAACGTATAATTAAGGATATTATGAGCAAGATTTCGTTAAAAGGTCACCTACTTGCTTGCTGGACTATCATGTTCTACACCTGAAACAAATAAACTTTCCACTTCCCCTTTTATAACCGCTTGTCGAAGAACTATTCCTGATCTCCGATACTCAAATTTAGGCTGACTCTCAGGCAGCTGGACAGTAAATACACTTGTTCCCTGAGGTAAGTGTAGGTTAATAATTTTTTTCTTGAGCCTCTCCATGGAAAATGGAGGCAAGCCTGTTTGAACTTCATTGATATTAGCCCTTGGTATCAAATAATCCAAATCATCCTAAACAAAAGTAAGATGTAAAACAGAGAGACTGAGATAACTGAACATCGACCACAAAAAGTGAAGGTGAAAATTGAAATCCTTACAAACCAATTACAGAAAAATAAAAATGACAAATCAAAATCACAATTTGTTTTCTAGTCGCAATTGAAAAACGGAAGCCAGTTTTCTGAACAGATGAAACATGCTGTGTTTTCTTCAGTGCGTTTCGTTGTTTTATTATTTTTATTTTCAGAACTGCAGTATCTGCACTGAGCGCAAATACATATATATATACATATATATACTCAACATTAAGGCGTTTCATGGATTTACCAATATTATTGGATCATTAAGATGCAATAAGATATTCTAACGCCCTCGAAGTATCATTTCACGTAAAAAATTGCCAGGTAGTTAGATCCATTAAGTTTATGTTCATAAGAACGACATTCAACCTCCTGTTCAAACGGCAAATATAATGTGCAGCATTCGACTCCACTTTAGTCCATAGCCGCAAAACAACTGCCATAAGTATCTCCAAGTTATAACGGGCTTTTGCTGAAAACATAATGGCTATAATTGTAGTGAGTATTAAAGTTGTGTGGTATGACGCTTGATAAAGAAAAGTTATAAGCTTCCAGTGATTAATGATAGAGTGGTATATGTTCCAGACTTCGAAATTGTTTCACGCCTTATAACTGTAATAATGTGAATACAGGGTTTAAGTAGTACTTGGAATAGAAAATTGATGTTTTGTAATCGAGACAAACATGTCTTTGCTCAGTCTTTCACTTCCACTACATGTGGGTAATAATTCCTATTTTAGTGAAATGAGTATTCTATAGTTTGCAGGATGTTTGTATTATTAATCATTTTTTATATTTTAGCGACTCAGTTAGTAACTATGAGCTGGTGAGACTCTCCATTAAAGGAATTTTAGTATTTTAAAGAAATTTGAGGTTCGGAGGAAATATAATGGATTTCGCATAAACTCCCTCCCCCACCAAATTTTGATATGGATTTGCCCTTAAAATACCTCCAGAGTTTGTACTTGCGTTACTCAGTCATGGTTTGTCTTTCACAGAAAACTTTTAAAATGCTGCTGTGAAATCAACCTTTTGTCAATCTTCCTAACGAAATAGTACGTATTCGTCTGCTTAATACAGACCAAGGAGATTTAAGAGGGCGATAAATATCGCGTAAATTGGAGTGACGAATGTCAGAACATATCTCATTTATTGTTGTGAATAGTTGTGGTTCAAAAGTTATGACTGCTTTTAATTATGTGTATTTTTGACATCTAAAGTGGACTGCGCAATACACAGTGTTAAACAAAATGTTCACTCTTTAATGTCTAAGATACTGTTTTCAGAAAAATATTTTTAAGTCACCAAAATAGTCTTCATTTTTATGAAACCTAGTGGTGATATAGCAGGAGAACTACTCGAAAAAGAGAATTTGGGCTTCAAATAAGGATGAAATTTAGGAGCGTTTCAACACTTATCTCTTAACCGTAAAAATCTTCCCAAAGAACCCCTAATCTTCCCAAACAATCTCAAATTCGAATTTGTACTAGTACGGGAACTCATTTTTAGGTAAATTAGAAAATGTAGATGTCGACATAAACTCATATCTTCCAAAAGTTTCAAAGTTGGAGATTTAACGAAACAAAATAGCATGAAAATAAAATACACAAGTGGCTATTAAAGGACTTCACTTATAGAAAGACTAGAAACCTACTAAAATAAAACTACTTAGGTCTCAAGTTAAATTACGGTTATTACTGGGTTTAAAATGTTTACATTTTTTAAGTTATACGATCAAGTTTTGCTTACCAATACAGAAGGGCATTGCAGTATATTTATAAGATCATAGCACTTAGTTAGTAGCTCAGACTGCAAAATGGAATAAACACTATGTGTCAGGCGTTGCAGGTAAATGTTTCCACTCTTTCTGGATTCTTTGTTGAGTTTTAGCACAGAAAAATTCACTTTTTCTTTTAAAGAGTTGTTAGAAATCGTTATTTAAAATTTACCAAAATCCATGTCACATCATGTATAGCGCTAGTTAATGCTATAACCAGAGAACAAGTGAGTTATTAGTTAAAACAAAATGCTACTGAATGGAAGGTCATAGGAAATGAATTCATTTTGAATGTCCCCAACATCAAATTTTTGAGCAGCTTACTGTAGATCACTTTCGTACCTTTTTATTTGCTTACTCATTTTTTTTACCGAATTTCGCAGTAGTTCATACATGAACTCGGTTGGCTCTTGTTAAATTTTTCAGGAGTTCGAATATTTCTTTTACTGTATCTCCGTTTGACGTGGACATTTCCATGCTTCAGAAAAGTTGCCTTTCACTAGTGTCATTCAAAAACAATGCGATGTGCTGTTAATGACTTGTACTACTCCTTGATATTCGTTGTGGTGTGTTTGAAATGTGGTATCAAAGCGAGCACATTTATTAGTGAGCTGTATTTGAAGATAGTGGGTTGCTGTGAGTCACAATAAATTGTTGAAATATGACTGCCACTATATGGGAACAGCAATTTCTAGAAAGAAACGACCTAAAATGTCTGGACTTTTTCGCTTTTTCTAAATTTTTTAGGACATATAGAGATATTAGTCTATCAGTGAGGTGTCACGTGGAAAGTTTCGATCGGGACTCATGAGACCGTCTTCTGTGCATGTCGATTTCAGACGATTGACGCTGTCACAGTCTTCGTGACTCTTTTTGATCAGAAGGAAGACAGCGGCAACCTTTAACTTCAGTAGAAAGTTCTCTTAGTAGAGAATTTAGTGGTGATACCTATCATCCATCATCGGCAGAAGTTCACGGGTGGGTCTCGACGGTCAAGTATATACATGCCTATGACAGGCACTGTAACGCCAGCAAGAAGGAAAATCCACGAGATAGTTTTGCATAAAATTATGTTTAGATAGACAAATCGCTTACTGATGGTTGCCATGATTTTTCCGTCTGTGGCCTGCAAGCTGAAGGTAGGTTCCTGCCGATCATCCTCCTCTGTGGCGGGGAGAACGTCAACTTTTACAGAAGGGTCAATCAAGCACTAGGTTCTACTAATGACATCACGAATACACAGCACGCGTCTATGGCTACCACTAACGAGTGCTGACTGGATAGCCTTCAATAGATTTTACATCCTTTTGGAAAAATGCAGGATTTTCATCAACATCTTGGTTTCCGATAATTGGTATCTTGGTGCCAACACCGGTATGGACAACTGTGTATAGGTGGTTCACGGCGGTGGCTTGGTGGACTGTGAAGTTAGTCGACCATAGTAGTTGCTTAACAGTTATGCGCAACTCTAACACTTTTAGTCCAATACCGGAAGATCCGGTGTCGATGGAGGAAAATGCATTGACTGCCCTATGTGGTGCAATTTTGTTTATTATACATGTTGATACCTGTTTCACGACTCATATGGATGGACAAAATTTTTAAAAACAAGAGATGTTCCTTTTATATATAAACCTCTGTTATGTTAATTTCGATTAATTTCCCTCGAAAAGTTCGGACCAGATTGCCGAACAAAACGTTGGAATTCTGATTTCAATCTCGCTGAGATTTCACAAATATAATTTTCACAAATGTCTACTTCTCACTCGGCACCTAGTTATTTTAAAACTATTCTGTCAAATCTTGACGACAGATCATATGAATAAGTAGACACAGTATATAAAATTAAGGAATATGTTTCATTTATATGATTGTATTACTAGTGGCTGCCCGTCTAAGCTAACAAAGAGTTTGTTGTGACATTAATACCTGTTATTACTGTTATTAATGTGATCATGAACTCTGTTATTATTATTGCTGTTGGTAATGTTATTTGTCGTAAAGCCATTATAATAAGTGCAAATGCTCCTACTCGAGCCTTGTGAATTACTGCACAACTTATTATTACAAAGTTTTGATCGTTTCAAGCTACCTCTGGGGGTCTACCAGATGTTGACCAAATGAATGAATTGGGAAGTCCCTAAGTTTATTGAAATATTTAGCTGCTTGCATATATTGTCTGTAAAAGTTTACTTGTAAATGCTAATCAAGCAACCATCTGAAAATTGTTTTATTATTTATTCAGAAAATATATGTACCATCTGAGTTGATGACGCTTTTCTCAAACGTTTTATGATCCTAACGAGAAGCACATAGATACCGCGTGTGCAGATAGAACGTAGTGATAGTAACAATGGGTTACTCACCAGAAGTATCTGTGCAGCTAATTTTTGTCTGATAAACACTTTTCCAATGAGTTTATTTTTCTTCTGCTGTAGTTTTCCGTGTTTCCGTAACATCTGTAACGCGTGCTAGGGTAGAAATTAAGAGTTAACTATTGGTAAATAATGTGGAGTCTCGTAATTTTTCGTAAACGCCATTAATTGAATACGTAGTGACATATTGGGCTCTTAGTCTGCGAGCTGTAGGCACGTGCTTCCTGTGAGATGCGGTGTCAGTGACAATGTACATTACGTTGGAATCAACGGTGCCTGTCGTCGCCTAGCCGTTTGCTGGTTAACGAGAAACCGGAGCAATGCAACCAGAAGTATTGGTGTATATTACACTGACGTTATTTGTGCACATTTTTCGTGTATTGGCAGTAAGCAAGTGTGGATAACTTGGCCAAGTTGTTGTGTAGTCAACTTACTATATTGACTTACTCTTGGTTGATCAATTAATTTTCGACTTTCTGTCTTTTAATACCGATTGTGTTGAAATCGGGTTTGTTGTTACATGCGTGAAATAGTATCCTGAGTTCTGAAGAGTCGTCTTCTGCCCACAAAAAATTCTCTTGATACCAATAATGACATTTGGACATATTTACTTCCTTTGGCTATAACACGGTTTTTTACAAGAAACTTCTCTGAATATACACTTCTACCTAGCAACTCAAAGATAACCTTCTTACGTCTAATATATGCAACCTGGAATACTGAAGTTGATTCAAAGGCTTATTTCCCTTCTGAACGTACGACTAAATATAAGAAATGACCCTAATCCCATAAACTCGGCAGCTCACAACTTTCACAAAAGTTAATATTCGGTCTTATCAACTAAAAAAAACGTTCGAATGACGAGGAAATATTGATTAGTAGTTAATCATATAATACAAATCAATTACATTATGGAAATCACTTCTTCAGCTACGAATGCCATGAATTCACCGGAATTAATTATGAGAGCGACTTTATTGCATATCCCCTCAGTGACGCTTGCCGCTATGTTGCTATTGGTTTCAAGTGGCCTTGGTTTTGGGGGAAGATTTAACTGATGTAATATTGTGATTTTATAGACATAACTCAGGCTCATACGTGAAAGAAAGTTATTATCCTGTAATAAGGAAAAGTTGTTCAGAAGGTAAGGAGGACGTTATTTTTCAGTTTATTTGTGTATATACTATTGTGCACCGAGTTACATTGAGTTCTTAGTGCAACTGTATGTAACTGCATTTACATAAAGTGAAACATTATGAATGCTCCTGTTTCTCGAATAAAAAGCATTATTATTATCATTAAGGATTCAAATGATATGGGCTTGATCACTAATGTTAATACAAAAGTTAATCAATTAAAGTGATATCAAATACTTAAAATCCATTAATTTGTATGGAACACGCCAGCCAATATTTTTTACTCAGTAAAAATAGATTTTATACCGTTACGTAAACATTAGGCAATTTACTTTAAAAAATGGACACCACATATATGTCATTCCTGGATATTTTTGTAGATTTCCACTGAGGAGATGCAAACACAGTAGTATTCAGATAAAAGTAAAAGATTTGACGAGGGTGAAAATAATTATAAAAAGCGTATTAACCTACCTCGTTACGTCGATGTTTAAACTACTGAACTGCAAAAGTCCATTATTAGAAGGCACATTTTCTAGAGGAAGCGGTGGATACTGTGACTGATTATGCAAATTACGCAGTTTATTTCCACCGAACAGCACTAATTATAATATATTTATTCCTGTATAGATAGAGCACTTTTTCCATTTCCGCATATATCAGTGCATTCTATCCAGTTTTAGTGGGCATACCAACATACAAGTGTAAAACACAACGAATAATTGTGGTATTTTCGGGATCCTGGTAAAGCGTTAGTTGATTAAGTGGCTTACGTTCATCGATAGGCTGCCTTTCTACTTATAACAGACATTTCGAATACTGCGCACACTGAGTGCACTTTAAATTTGACTGTCACTGGCAAAACTGCATGGAATTTTCTCCGTAACCATTTAAGTTTTAATTCTTTAATTGTGAACATAATTTTGGAAGGCGTGTAATGTGTTCCTCTGTGTTATTTGTGTGTGAGTACTTGAACCAATGTCGTTATGTGTTATACATTGTTCGTGCCTGCAAACTGGCGCCCGTAATGCACGAAACGCCCAGGATAAGTGTTATTAGGATGGTGAAGTTGAGAGCTTCAGAATAGTAAATACTGAGTTGTTATCTGTAATGAAATCTGTGTTAAGGCATTGTGCGCTCTGAACATCTGACCCGTAATAAACCATGCATCGTCTCGCCATTGTGGTTTCTGCCATCCCCGAGTGGATTGTAGTTATCGATAGAAATGTTTTTATCTCAAGCCTAAGGGGTACGCCACATTCCAGCAATTGTCATGCGTGGTTGAGTAACCCGAGGTGGAGGTTTCTAGACTTTGAGACTGGAGTACGTCGTCATCCTTTCTGGAGACAAAAGGCCGAAGAAATAGCGACTGTTATTCCACTCAGTCGAAGATTTAGTTGGTTTGTTTATTGGATATATCACACAGTGAAACAGTATTATTCACTGGGAGACGTTTCGAACAAAACTTATTGTTCATAATCATTTCATCGATTATCATCACACGACTTCGAAACTTGAGTCTTATAGTCTTCTTTGTTCTTTCCTATTTGTCGTAGGGGCAGTAGAATTTTCCAGATATCTGGGATAGGTGTTTAATCATTCCTACTACACGTGCTTCCAGTTAATTCGATAAATAAATCTTCCGTTGCCAAACTCTCCTTCCACCCTGTCACTTTAGATTATAAAACTGTCACATTATCCTATCCTATAGTATGGTTGTGTGTAATTGCATGTAGTGCTGCCTACAACTGAACTATCCTCCAAATTTCTTATCTTGTTCGGATCAACTAATCTAGATTTTGCCAGGTATTTAATTCTCCGCTAGTCTGCCTGACTGACTACGTTCTACTACTCTGACCTATGTATTTGACCTGACATTCAGTGCAGGGTATTAGATAAACTAAATTGTTTTGTTTAATTGGCCTCACAGGCAAGATCCTTTACTCGAAAAGCTTATTTCTTGTCGACTTTGTCGGTTTGAATGCCACTTTTATTCCTAAATTATTAAGAACTCCTTCTTCTTATGACGTCATCAGTAACAATTCTCCTCACTCGTGAGACTTATCAGTAAAATCTATGGCTATAGTGAAAATAAATTCCTATAGAACATCCATGCATTGTGGATTGGAATGGATTTGCAGAGATTTACTAATGTATGTCCTATATTCCAAAATGCTGTTACATGATCCATCATTATGCCAACGCCTAGTAGCGTGCAATTCCAGTGACCCACACTTCGTCTGTGGAAACCGATAAGCTATTACACTGGAAAGTCCCACTGACTACAGGGTGGCAGTAGTGAAGCATTTCGTGAGGCGAACAGGGCGTCATCTCCATATCCCATCATCATCTCTCACCAGATTTCTTCTCACAATTAGGCTGCTGACGTTCTACGACATCACCTTTTCCCAAGAATATGTGGTCGCACTGTTCATTGTTTCTGTATTCCAAGTTGGAATTTTCGGTCGACCGAAATAGTGCAGAGCCGACAATTCCATCTGGGGGTTAAGTGATGCCTGAAGCGTCTTAGGATCATTTCAAGGAGCCATACATTCGGGTAAACCAACTCTATGAGCATTTTGAAGAAATAGACTGAAGAACGGTATCATGGCTTTTTGGCGTTATGGATGCATATTTATCAAGTGGGATCAACATAGGAGATTTTTAAGCAGAGCCTGAGAGTCGAGAACGTAGCATATCACGGAGTACTGATTTTAACACCAAATAATCAAGTTTTCAGAAGGAATGTCAGAAGTGGTGCATGTTCGGACGCTCGCTGAAAAATAAAAATGTCGTCTCATACTGTTCTTTCCTAAGTCAAAATCTAAACATGAGAACTGTTTTTCTGTGATGTCTTGATTAGATTAATGATTTGTCAACTTTATATAAACACTTGAAAATGCTAAATCAGATTTGGGGCCTGTTTTAACAAGAGACAAAGGTAACAAAGGTATGTAAGTTCAAACATTTTCTCTTGGTTTGTTTGAATTGCCAGTGACCCTTGGCGGGAGTCTTCAGGGTCATATTTGGCTCGCTTTCAATTGTAAATTCACAGTGTGAAGGATGGCTACGGAGGTGGAAATCAATCCCTTTAGACCCGGTGGTGAACTCTCTAAAGAAGTGGAAGACATCCTGAAAAATTCCACTATCTCAAGGGATACAGTAGGTCATAATTCTTCCCATTCATAGCGTTTTGATCTATATTATCTAAAGTATAGCATGTTGCTAAACTAAATCTGAATAACGCGCACTTAGTACATATTATAATGATGAATTTATGTTTTGTGTTCAGAAAAAATCAGTGTGTGCAGAGCTAATGGGGTTCGTGTTGAAAATAATTGATAGAGTCGAAAATGTTGATGTCGGTGCCAAAGAAGTATCATCGAATGCCGAATTATTGCCTAGAGATTGTCAATAGACTCTTAACTTTTGTGGGAATATTGCCTGCCATTCCGGGTATTTAACTTAAAGTCCTGAGGTGACGTTCAACTAAATGGCAGTAAAATAGACATGGCCTTGGTTTTTGTTTCCTGAAGTTTATTAGCATTTTTAAGTTTCTTCTGATACCGATCTATTCGTGTATGTACTTAAACTGGAGTGATGCAAGTCAAATTTGTAACAAGATTATTTATATTGTAGAGAATTCGATTACATCAACCTTTTCATAATTACATATATATATGTTTGTTAACAATAATTAGTCAGCATCAACATGTCAATGGAGTGATAATTGACAAAGATAATTGATACGCTCAATTAAAATGTGGAAATGGTTACAACACATTGATTGCATAATGCATAATTTGGGAAATTCAAGAGTGCTTAAGGAATAAACGTGTGCTCAAGGGGGCCTAGTACTCCACTTGATACTGGTTTCTACCGCGACAGTACATGATTAACACTCGCCTTTCGCCTTCTACCAATTAAATTTTTAAAATTTCCGTAAGTGCTAAGTGTATCATTTAAGGAAACTATCAGTCTAGGGTGGGTACATTACTTACGTGGCTAAAGTTTAGATAGTAGTTTAAGAACCACTGTGTCATCTACCACAATTAGGGTTATTTTAGTGGCAGTGACAGTGATCTCGCGAAACCGGTGAGTGTTACAGTCAGACGAAAAAATATCACAAAAGGTTTTCATCCTTTTCATCTGATTCAGACGCCTCACCTTTATGACTTGTCAGTGACGGTAACCCACTGCTAATTTTAGCCTTTTGTTTAATATGCGAGTACAGTCTTTTGGCACAACGTACAGTCCAAAACCAGCTGACTGTCGTATTCTTTATGACTTGTATCAATGGTATACTTTCAAAGGTACCGAGTTTTACTGCGGCCTATCCGAAACTCATATCTTGGTATTACAGTAAACTGATCTCAAAAGCTTTATAGCCTTCTTAATAACCTTATTTCATTACTAATCTAAAATGGTTTATGTGGTAAATTTCGAAGGGTAGACCAAGGTACAAAAGACTGACACATTCTGATGTGTTCCTCGACAGTCCCATTAGTATCAACCGACCACCCAGTTAGAGATTCTGTATTCCGGATTACTGATATATCTGCTTTCCGAATTTAAGGAGGTGTTGATCTATGGATGAAGTCAGGAATCTTAAAAGTAATGGTAATGACTACGTAGTCACTACTGCCTAGCAGTAAGGAACATCCAATGTTGTTTACATCCTACTTCTGGTGTGTTAGCACTAAGTTCACAGTAGAGAGATCATGTTCGGGGTGCTATCGTTTTGGTGCATGTACATGCTGCACAACTGTACATTAGAGGATTGTCAGCGTAATTTCTCTGTTGAAACGGGTATACAGGCTGGTTAGTATTAATTCCTCTCAGTGAAGATGTGGGCATCAAAGTAACCTACTATCAGATACCTATTTCTACTACTCCACACCCTCAGGTGACCTACTATGAAGTCATTAGTTTGGCGTATAGGACTAGTGTAAATAGCTCCGGTCGTTAGAGTACCCTTATTCAAGTTAGTAATACAGCTTGTGGCTTCATAAGTGCCACCAACGTGCGCTTCTGAAACTGTTGACCTAATTGCTATGTTATCCCGAGTGTATACAGCAACCCCGCTACCTTTCTTATTTATCTTGTCTGCTGTAACTCAGATAAACCCCGGTATGAGTGGAGCGAGGTCCACACCCACTAACAACCACGTTCCAGTAATTGCAATGACATCAGGTTGTAATCTCTCAGATAATACTACTAATTCAGGAAGCTTGCTTCTTAGACTACATGTATTCGTATAGCACACTGATACACATGCTTGTTTATTCGACCTATGAATAGAGGTCCTCGCAACATAGGTTTTCGAGATCTCACCACCCGAAATCCTAATGTTTTCCCCTTTTCCTAACCGGACCCTTAGTTCCGCTACGAATTCTCTCCTTTTAATTCTATCATCCAACGGGCAACCAGGCCTTATTTTCAACTTCCTATCCTTTTTCTTAGATGCTCTCAAATGGGAATTGTATTCTCCGTGTTATTCTCTAATACTATTTTCAATGGCCTTCAAGAACTTTCCGTAGCATCAATATTTCGTCTGCCGATTCTAATAACTTTTCTTGCATGAACCTTAATATTATATTTCCTGGTTTTCTCTCCTTACCTTTGGATACTACCCAAGGGGAGTCAGTTTCTTCCACTGTGCTCTCTCCGCAACATGGCACCACCCGTCCACTCAACAGTTCGTCCTCATAGTAGTTTCGCTAGCTGGTCTTACGATGCTGGAACAAAATAGACAATGAGCGGACACCCACTACCACCACACACATGTGGACGCCCAACGTGGGACTCGAACCCACGACCATGGGACTGAGTCTCGTGCTCTACTGACTGAGCTAGCCAAGCCCAACCGTCGACTCTGAGAATAAAAGTCTCATAGCATACATTTGTTGAATAAAGGTGTATTTGAACTCCAAAGCAAGTGATTTGTTCAGAAACGTTATTGGACCTCACTAACAGACCCTAGTGTAATTAGTATCTCTGAATGCTATATAATTACACAGACACCAACGTAAGTTTTTTCTTGTGTATCACGGTATATTTATTTGATGGTGAACATTCGGTGTATTTAATACATAGATTTCAAGTATGAAAGAATTCATTTTTTAACTGGTATGTTCAGCGATCAGATTAAAACTAGGTAAAATCAAGGCATTTCAAAGATACTCTTTAGAAGGTTATTCTTAGCTAATTTGATTTTCATGTCAGAAAGAACCAACGCGGAATCTGGTGTTTACAGTGACACAAAGTTCTACTTCCGAAGCATGATAACATCATAAATCTGCCCACTACATGAATTGCAGGTATTGACCACTATGCCGGTGCGTCGGTGAGCAGAGGTAGAATGTTCGCCAGCCACTCGAGTGGTCCGGGGTCCGATCCCCGGCCAGCGCACTCACAAACCTCGCTTAGCTGGTAATAAGCCCATCAGAGAGTGGAGTGAGCTTGAGACTAGCAATCCCACCCCGTAAAAATAAAACCACTGCTACCGAAACTTCAAAGCTCTAGTTTGAAGCCCTTGGTTTCACTGGGAACGCATAGAAACAAAATGATAATAATAATGCCACTACTTTGGGATATTGAAGAGGTGCTCATACTCATGGTCCTAACTCCAAAGAGATGAGAAACGTTTGTGTTCAAGCAACTGGATTAGGTACATTATATATGTCATATTGCGACCTTCAGCATACGTAACTGTCGAAACACATACTTAATAATTAAGTGCTGATGGATTACCGTCATTCAGCCTTTAAGCTTTGCCGGACAAGTATTAGTTCGGGTTAGTTTTTACTACTTGTTTTAGCTTATGAGGCAGGAAATTCAGAATTACAAGGGAAGTCAGCTTGAAAGTGATCCTTTCTGAAAGTGAGTGTAAAGTACTCAAATCGTATTTCTGCATGAAGAACATTGTGTGAAGTGATAGTCGCGTGTGTAGTCGATATGCTGAACAGTGTCTCTGATCAAATAAATTTTTAATTCTAATATATTGTATTACACACAATTCACAAAGGTGGTTGCACTTTATTAATTCCATTTTTTAGTTGATAAGGGTTCGTCTTTTTTGTCTCCTGTTTTGTTGCATTTCTTCTGACCTATTCACTCTTGCCATTTCTGAATTTACTCAGTCTTCCAGTAAAATTCAAATCATATTAATTTACACATGTGTCAACCTCATTCTTTCATTTGTCTACGCTTTTTGGTCGATTTGTAGTCCACATACTACCCAGATCAATGTTATTAAACCTCAGGATTTGCAATTATTGGCAAAACTGCAACTTGCAAAAAGAATAAGTCCACTATATGTATTTCAAGTTAGATTTGAATGCAGTTTTTATCACTTCAGAAATGCGATTGTTACAAAAAATATCTTTCCCTACTGAAGTCTTTGTTTCATGGAGAAGGATTTTTAACAGCTTCATGTATACATGTACGAATCTGGAAGGGACTACTATGGTGTTTGCATTACTGCACTTTGTATGTAACCTGTTGGCATTCAATAAACAGGTTGTCGTAACTAAATGAAGACTTTATTATGAAATGCAACTTCATCTTGTATTTTATTACATTTCATTTTCGCTAGATAATTATAAATGATCCTGCGTTACGCCGTGCTAACGGGAATCCTACATCTGTGGACGGTGTCGTACCAAATAATATCCACACAAAAAGCGGTGACTCACCGTTTAAATCCCAGGCTTCCAACGGCCCTAATATTACGGACATTTCTTCACACTCATCCGGTCCAGTAACCTGTGAAGTTAAGTCTCAACATGTACCGCCACTTCAAAGTCCAACAACATTTCAGTCTGAACAAGTTGAACATGTTAATATAAAAAGAAGTCGAAAACCTACCAAGTGTTGTGTTATCCAGTAAGAGTAGTGTGCATAGAGTAAAAGGTGAGTTCACTACAGGTTTTGATTTTCAACTGTTTCTTTGTCACTAGAATTTGTAAGTGTTCAGGGAATTCGATACAAAGTGCTGCTCATTCATCACCTCGATTCTGTTTAGTTTTTGGTTCTATCTACTTATAGTCGAAGTTATTCGCGTCTGTAAATAAGATACAAAGAACACCAAAATGCTCTAACTGTATCCATTCAACTTACCTTGAGATATCATGTAGAGGAAGCCACGTAAGAAAGAAATATAACAACCATCATAGAGAAGTAAACAGTCCTGTTATTACTGCTTTTTAAATGTGAAGGTACAGCTTATTGACTTAGTTACCGGATCGGTCCAGATTTCTTACCTGAGTTTGAAATCATCTGTTGATGTAACGACGTCTGAGTGTTTGGCTTTTGACAGTAACTAAGTAACTTTTAATAAAATACATCCTTCTCCTGAAATACATTCAGTGGGTGCGTCGGTAGAGACTACAAACACGTATAGATGATTATCATGATCGTTGCTAGCTGAGTACTACACAGACAACTTGACAGAGTAGATTTTAATTCTAATGCAATAGTTTTTTTTTTGAAACTGATCACTCTTTAAGTATATGATGCTTTTCAAATTCCCATTCGTTATTTCTGTTAAATCTTAACAATTCCATTTTCTTCAATTTAGTCTTTGTTGTCATTTCATTTCAGATATAATTGACAATCGGACAAAGTAATCTCTCCGCCTGATTTCACTACTAATCCTTCACAGTATACTACTCTTCGCAGCTGTTTTTCCACCATGTCACAATTTTGGCGTTCCAATGACATGTATGTGTCCTCCATTCAACTGACTGTTCAGATGAGAAATTCATTTAACCTTTTTAAATTGTACACAAAAGTATGTATGTACACATCATTATTTCTTTCCTAATTTCTATTCAGTTTTATGTGAGTGAGTATTCTCACAGGAAAAAAATATCTAAATAGAGTCCGGTTTTCGCATATATTGGTTAATCCACTTTCTGTATATTTAAGAAAGTGAGATCATTTCTATTCATTTTTATTCTTTCATATTTTCGTTGTTGAAACTCTTATGTTTATAGAGAACATATCTAATTCACGCAGTACAATTGATATATTATTAGTTGATAATTGTTGAAATCAGGACTTTTTCAAGTGCAATTTCATCCACATAAACAAATGTACACACACACACATACATACATATGGTACAAGGAGTTAAAAGCATTTTTATCTCACTTTGTTGGATATAATTCTGTTTGTTTGTTTTTTCATTTCAAGTAAAGTAGTACTTTAATTTCTACACTATCTCGCACTTTCGCATCCTGAAGAAAAAAAAGGAAACGAACCATTCGTATTGTGTTGCAATTTTTCTCTTTTTCGCATTCGCTAAATATCTGATTCAATGCTCTGTTTTGCTATTTTGCCAAGATTCTTCTGTTCTATGTAAATCTACATGAGAGCGTGTGTTAACTGTAAAAGTTGGCTGCATTATGTTTTAGCGTAGAAGCCGTAAAACTGAGTCCCTTTATCCTTTAGATTAGTCGAGTGTGAAGTGAAGAGTTTTGTCTTTGTCTGTTTGTTTTTTTCTACTGCTATGTTCTTCATCGATTGTTTAATACCACTTATTTTTTACCTTAACTTTTCCAAATGTAAAATGATTACTATCCCTTTTACTTTTAATAATGTACCCTGTGTCACTGTATTCGCTTTCAGTTTGTATTTGTTCTGTCTACGATGGCGCTGCTTCCTCATATGGTCTGCTTTTTTCTCTACTGTTGTTTATTTTTTCAATTCTTCTTCTGTTTAAAATAAAACGTGCTTGACTGGTAAGCTGACTTTCCATTCGTAATAACTTGTTACGATAAGTTCGTCAGGTTGTTGTGGACAGAATAATGTCTTAGTTCTCTAAGTGTTGGAAGTTAGTTACTTGACACGGACCATCGGCTATGTTGAGAAGATAACAGTGTTCATAGTTTAGCTTCTTGTTTTATGTAGCGTAGAAATCGCTCGTAGTAGAAATGTTTACTTACCAATACTGCTTAGTGAAATAGTTAGTTTCCAATTGAATTATTAATCTCGTCTAATTCACTAGGTGGTCATAAGCCCTAAAAAGAGAGAAGTTTGAGTGTGGAGCTAGCAAGCCATGTGTCGCTGCTGTCTGTCTGTCTCTTTTCAACATAGAACTTTGCACCGATGTGCAGCAGTTCAAGTCGCCACACTCCATGTAGCACACAAAGCAAGAGAAGAAATGCATAATAGAGACAGTAGATAGGGATATGAGACAAAGGAATAGTAATAACGAAGAACAATATAGTTTCATTGGAAATTATAAGTCACAAGGAGTTTGTGCATCTGAGCCACTGAGAACGATTTTGAGCGATATCACCGATCGTCTCCAGCCATCATTGGTTCTTACTAACCCGAGGATCACAACCAGCCAAGAAGTCTACATGACTGGCTGGCTGAAACTAACTGTTGTAGATTCCACTGACCGATACCATATTTTCGTTTGACCACCACTGGCTCTTTTCCAACCTGACCCTCTGTCAGCTAACATTGCCCGTCGAGGAAGGCTATGGCAAGGCAGGCATGCGCGACACATGTCCTAACCATCTGAGTCGATGTAGCTTCACAGCCTCGTCGATTGATTTCCCCTTCTTACCTAGCACTCGTCCGAAGTCTAACCTCAATATTGCTTACCTTATCATACCACTTAACACGGGAGACAGAACGCAAGCACCTATGATCAAAGATAGCTAGCCAGCTCCTTCATGTCTTCCACTGTCAATGGCCATGTCTCGCTCACAGCCATAAAGGAGGACGGAGCGGACTGCTGAGCAGTACACACGCCCTCTGGTCGATAGTCAGATATCACGTCTACGCCAGAGACGGTGTAAACTGGCATATGCGAAACGAGCCTTCTTTATCCGTGCTGAGATTTCGTCAGCGATCAACCCGTTGGCACTGGCTGATGCAACTTCCCAAATAAGTGAAGTGGTCAACACGCTCTACCACTTCACTCCCTATTTCTAAGCTAGGAGTCAGTGTAGTCCAGTCCTGTAGCATCATCTTACATTTGGCGGGAGCGAATCGCATGCCGAACATTCGAAGATTGCAGCTCAAGGAGTTCAGAAGACTGCATTTTGTCAGCGTCTTCACCCAAGTCAACGAGATTATTCCCTGGTAACAAGTCAATTCCTGAGTCTTTGAAGTGAGTTAGTTAGATGCGTTAGTACATCTATGATGAAATTGAATAGAAATGGGGATAGTGGGCATCCCTAACGGACACCACTAGCTGTCACCATTTCAGATGACAACTTATCGTAAACTCTCCCCTGGCTGGCTGCATGAGTTCGAGTAGAGTGCCTTGATCAGTGCAACGTATTTTCTCGGCATTCCTTTCACAGCCAAACATCGCCAGAGTACCTATTGGTCGACAGAATCGAATGCCGCCTTTAGGTCAAGAAATATAACGATATGAACAAAGCAAGAATGTCTTTGCCCTGTAAGCAGCTGACGAGAAGGCAACGAAATAAAAGATGGTACCATTTTATTCTGCTAAAACTGTAGTTCTTGCTTTGTTCAAATTCATTAAGGGGAATATAACGATTGTTGGACGCCGGTAAGAATGCCTATGTTCCAGAATCTTTCGAAGGGTGAAGATATGATCAATACACCCTCTTCCTGGTCTGAAGCCTGCCTGTTTCTCTCGTGTTTGTTCCTTCCGTGGACCGCTAAGTCTACCCATGATTATTGAGCCTAGGACTTTAGATACCATATTAGTCAAGCTAATCGCCCTGTGATTATCACAGGAAGACTTGTCTTCCTTTTTGTATATGGGGATAATCAGTGACTCACACCAACATGACGGGACTTCCTCTGATTCCCAGACGCTGCCTAATACCTTAGTTAACGCAGACGGTCTCCAGCGTACTTAAATACCTCTGGAGTCATTCCATCGGGTGCTGCTGCTTTGCCTCGTTTCAGACTAGTGACAGCATTAGTAACCTCAGTTAGGGACGGAGGACCTGTGTCTATATCCCATTCAGGGAGGTGTTGGATGTCCGGCAGGCTAAGTGTGGATGTGGCCCAATTAAACTGCTCCTCGTAGTGTTCTTTCCAACGTTCCAGTCGTCTATCCTGGGAGCTATTTATGGTGCAATTTTTCTCAGAGATTGTTTCACTTATCATTTGCCTTTTACCACCTGTTCCCTGATAAGTCTAAATAGTTGTCTGGTGTTACCAAACGCCGATGCCTTTTCCATCTCTTTCGTTTTTGTCGCCCACCACTGTTCATGGTCATTAAGAAGGCTTCTTGTTAGTTTGTGTTTGAGTAGCTTTCGTTCCTCATCATAATCGGAGCTCGCCGAAATCAGTCTTCTTGCATCAGTCAGTTCGGATTAGGCGGTAGAGATCCAACGGCTCTTACTAACTTTAGGTTTTAGGTTATTAACAGCTTTTACAGCTGTGTCTACAGCTAGCTGTATGTTGTGCCAGGCTATCTCAGGGGAAGTCCTGTTGTCGACCTCAGATACACGTTTCGTTATTTCTTCTTTAAATAGGGACTCAGAGTCGCATCGCTGCAGAAACTTCGAAGCACAGGAAAGATGTACTTATTCTTCTCTGGAGTCGGGAAGACCTGTCAGTTTGAGGAGGGATGTCCCTGGCAGATGAAAGTCTTCAGATAGCCAGTCGGCTGATCTGTCTTCCGTTTATAGTGGGAAAAGTAGGCATAGAAATATGAGATACACCGTGTGTAAGACTAGTTGGCAAAGCTGTTCAGATCTCAGAAGAAACGAGAAGATTTAGTATAGAAGTGTTAGAAATAGAAGTGGACTCTCCAAATCGTTGACTGGATGGTCTATAATCTACTACGAGCGCACTGGAGGAGTGCCTGTCACCAACAGCATCGAAAGTTCTCAAGCGGTGGGGTACAATATTCTCCAGGATCATCACAGCAAGATCCAACTAAAAAGGAAGGAAACTTACAGTCATGCAATGCTACGCGCCTACAAACAACGCAGACTAATAAAAGAAGGAAAACTAACAGACAACTGCAAACAGTATTGGACAGGCCCCAAAATGGTGACATCAAAATCATAATGGGTGGTATGAATGCCAAACTAGGAGCAAACAACAGCGAAAGAGAACTCATCGCGAGTGGAGAAGCGCTAGACAAAATGAAAGAGAACGGAGAACTACCTATCGAATTCTGTACCTTTAGTGATTTGGATTTTGTAGACCGAGTGTACAATCGCAAGGATATCTACAACATGACATGGGTTTTGCCAAAGGGACACGCCAAAAACCAGATAAACTTCATCTCAATCCAAAAATGTGGAGAGGAAGCTTATTTGATGCGAGATCTTTGAGAGGTGTAGACGTAAGCTCAGATCGATTTCTAGTGCAGTGAATCTTCATGATCAAGTTTAAAGCCGTCAATGAAGCTGGAGATGCACCATAGTTGAAGTTCAACACTCGAAATCTGAAGAACGAAGGACATATTAATTGAAGTCATCTAGAAAACTTCGGATTCCTTAAGCAACATCACCGAGGAAACCTGTGCGGAAGAACATCATTTTCTATCCTGGAAGAGATCAGTGCAAGTGAAGCCAGTGAAAGTTACTTTAGGAAGCCCATTCACTAGAGGAGTGGGACAGTAAAAACGCTGAAATGATCACTCAAAGGACTGCTGAATCAACCATCACATACAACTCATCCAGAAATACCACCACCATCAGCAGACCACTGACTCCTGCAAAAACAGAAAGCAGGAAATCAGCAGGACTAGCTGGAGTACCCACAGAATCATAGAAAACGAACCCAAAGACCTCAGTGGACATGTTCGCGCCACTAATTTAGAATGTGTGGAGGCAAAGTAAGGTACCTGAGGACTGGGAAATAAGCTACTTGTTGGAACTACCAAAGTAGGGTGACATGAGCCTGTGCAAGACCTGGCATGACATCATTCTCCTGTCCACCTCTATCAAATCAAACATCACTTGACAATAAATGATGGATTATTCTCTGGTACTGATATATTGAAGTGAACTAGGTAAGAATACTGGGGCGCAGATAGGTAACAAATAGCAACAGTAGCCACTGAAACTTCTAAGCACAGTAATCATAATAAAATA